TACCTCTTTGCCTTTTGGCTGCGTGCAAGTGGGTCCTTGTGACACACGGGGATGGGGGCAGCCAGCGCTCAACCTGTCAWCCACGTGGCTGGCCTTGTACGTAAGAGGTTATGAACAGGTGGAGCTTTCGTTACCTCTTCCCCCTCCCCCTTTTTTCCTTTTCCTTTTTTCTTTCCCCTTTTTTGCGCTCTGATTCACAATGTGACAATATATATAGTGGGTCGATATGACACACGGGGGTGGGGGCAGCCGCCGCTCTACCTACATCCACGTGGGCAGCTTTGTACGCAAGAGGTTTTGAACAGGGGGAGTCTTGTAAGGAAGAAGAAAAAAAATGAATTTATTTCTCTTTTTTTCGCACTTGCGCTCTGATAAATTTGTGACGATATATATCACTCTTTATTCTTCCTTTGGCATTTAACTTTGACGGTCCTGGCCGCAATCTCGGTGCTTTGTGAACCGAGATCGTCCTTTTGGCGGGAAACCCTTTATCCTCCGTTTTTCCCGCCAATAGGACCGGTTTCCCGCCAATAGGACCGGTTTCCCGCCAATAGGACTGGTTTCCCGCCAGTAGGAGGTCACCGGCTCGATTCCTTCTGGCTGCGGAGCCACCACCGGGCCACGATGATAAACTTACTGACACTGACGATTTTGGTTCAGAAAAAAGCGCCGATAAATGGCCTAAGGAGTAACACAGGTGGCCAAAAAAAAAAACAAAAACAAAGAAAACAGGTGCTATTGGCAGGTATAAACCACACTATTAGTTTGTAACGATGGTGCTATTTTTATTTTCCTGTGTGTCTGCTCTCTGCCTATACCTGTCAATGGACATGCCAGTAGTAAGCTGTCATGAGCTGTATGAGGACAAAATGACAGATCCATAAAGATTCTATTTGTACTTATGAAATATTAACATTGATTAATAGTAATTAATAGTAATTAATAGTAATTGAATACTGATATTCGAAAAATATAGTTTTTTGCTGTGTATGCTAGGCTACCAGCCGGGCCGCCCGGGTCCCGGGTGGCCAGTCCGTGCAAGGAGCAGGGAAGGTCGGAGCAAAAAACAAAACAAAAAAACAAATTCCAAAGAATCCAAAGAAGACTATGTTATGCAGAAAAATAAACTGAACAACTTTTGCCTCAGGGTCACATCCAAATTCTTCACCAAATTTAGAATAAAAATAAAAATTAAAATAATAAAGATGTGTTTTAATTTTTAATTTTTAATTGTTTTTGGCCCGGCCGGGCAAGTGACCCCGGGCCACTCTGGTAGCCTAGTGTGTATGTATATTCTTCAGTCTGTACTGGACGTTTGGCTTTTATATGGTTATTATTTAAAATATTAAAAGTTTTTAAAACCAACAACTGCAGAAATTGGAAATCTCCGAAACCAAGAAAATAGAAAAATAAAAATGACATGGTAACTTCCGCACACCCGTTAAAATTGGAACGATAAATCGAGAAATGGTAAAACAAAAACAAACAACGACAACAATTATTGCAGAAAACAGTTTTGACTAGCATGGGCGCTGCTCAAAGATGACACGTATAAATCGAGAAATGGTAAAAAAAAAAAAAAAAAAACAATTGCAGGTTGTCATGCGGCTTGAGGAACTGCCACAGACCCCCCCCCCCCCAGCCTGCAGGCCACCCACAGTTTGACAGCATCAGCAGTCAGCGCTGCTGCTGCTGCTGTGCCTGCTGCTCTATAAGAGAACTGAGATCGAATTTACGGAGAAAATAGATATGGAAATAATGGGGATTGTTTTGACTAGTATTCACTACTATTTAGCTAAATTGGCTGAAAAAAAAAAAGGGGAAAACTCTAGGACTGCCGGTATTTATGTTCAATGAGTAAATCACTATTCCTGTCGTGCGTGATCTGGCGGGAAGAGCTTTTTTTTCCCCCTGAATTACAGTATTACTGTTATTTTTTAAATTTTAAATCGCTTTTCCGCTCGTAGATTAGGTCCATTGCATTCCTGGATTGATTGATTGATTGATTTGGTTGCATTTCCCGCCCTGTTCTTTCTTTTTTTTTTTCTTTTTTTTCTTTTTTCTTTTCTTGTTCTTTCTTTTCTAACGTCGTCCCAAATATTGAAAATTGAAAATCCCGGACTTCCCCCGGTTTACCCCCCCCTTTCCCCCCCC